TTGTAAAGTATGGAATAACGCGTAACCTTGTTGGTGCTCAATCACTTTTTCTACACTCAGTTTAAATGAAAATCAATCAAAGCCAATATACTAATCGTAATTAAAGTAAACTTAAAATATCGTGTGATGAAATTGCAGTCTTCTACAAAACTGTGCAATGACACAGGATGAACATGTATGTTCAAGATTCTATACAGTAGGTTCACTTCCCAGCCACGGCCATACATCCCTCTCCTGTCGCCGCTTCTCCACTTTATCTATGAGCTTTCTGCTAAGCAGGGGCTGGGTTGTACAGAATATCATCATGAAGGCATAGTACAAATACATTTTGTATCTATATACTTCTAAAAAGCTATTGAACTGGATCGTATATGACAGTTCGGCACATATAAACTTAATTTATGATAACCTGCAAAATATGTCGGTATTTTAAGTAGACGAAACAAGTGAACCTACTGTATATAATCTTTATACTGTGCTATTTCTATAAAATGGAACCTACCGGGAGGTACCTATTAATGTCTTCGGTAACTGAAATTAATTGACCAAACTTTCATGAAAATGGTAAGAGGTTATTCAAGTTTTGAATTTCATTGTACGTCAAAGTATCTATGTACTGCTTCTTATACTGTGTTTGCTACAGATGTCACTATCATTGACAAATTTAAAGGAAGATATTGCACATATTGGGCAATCCCATAAACTTTTGTGTATGAGAAAGGACAATTTTAATATGCAAATTGCAAAAACCAATGTGCTGGGAGCGTAATTACAACCAATCCCCTTTTTATGGCACGTAAACGTCAACTTGTGCACCCCCATCAAAATATAGCCATTTCGCCTCCGAGCTTCTATACAAAATTAAAAAGCTTTCTATGGTGATGCTTCACATCTGTCTCCGTTATCTCCCTTTTTATGAGTCGTTTTCTTGATAGAGCCAAGGAAAATAATACAGAGAACACAAAAATAAAACGGTACCAACTTGCAAATACTTATAAAAATAAAATACGGACATGTGCGAGTAAGATTCGTCCTTGGAATGTTTTGTGTCGTTACATTAATGTAAAGTGAAATAAGTATACANACTTCTTAATAACGATTACATAATTAATGATAATTATTATTTGTTATTAATAAAGGACCAAGCATCACAAGCGAAAGTATTGCTTTGAATATGTGTAATTAACGAAATAACTTTATTCATTCGCTATCACCTACTTTACAGCACATACTACTGGAAATGGACTGTTGTGTGCAGAAAGAAACTAAAGCAGTAGTTGTGTTTTAATTCAATTGAACATGCGCATCCTTCAAAAATTAGTTGTGCGCAACAATAACGCATGCGTATAATTGATTTTTTTTAAAATGCGCATGCGCAAATTGTATTAAAAATGGGAACTGAAACCACCTATTGTAACTACTGCTTTATGCGCATTTTTCATGCGATTCGTTATTATTAGTATGCGCTTTTCTTATTGCATGTAGGCATTGACGTTGCTTTCTATCACTTCGTTGGTCACATTTTCGTGTATGTAACACGCAACCCCCAGTAATACATGCTCTAAGTGGTCTACATACAGTTCACCACACGTTGGTCCGAACAATGAAAAATATTCGTAATAATACTTACTTATACACTTGAATCGCGAAGCACTTTATGTACAGGTCAGTTTATTCATTTCAATTTATAAAATATGAATTTTTAAAATTACGACACAAGTATATCACAGGCCTACAAAGTTTCCCAACAGTTTAAAAAAATACTTAATATTAATTGATGTTTATTATTTTTTTCTTTCATGAGAAAAATTCTGAACGTATATATATATGGCACATATACGTCGCGTTTAAGAACAAATTAGTTAATTAATAAAGAACTCTGATACTGTCGGTCAATACTTATTAGATAATACAACACACATCTACAGCAATAAGAAATTATACTAAACGTTAAAGTAAAAGAAAATTAAACGAAAATATTGTGAACGTTATTACTTAGGTATATGAACGTGTCCATTTTTTTTATTGTTTTCTTTTTTTTTCCGTTCATCCTTATGAGGGCACTTTAAAAAGACAAACCTAACTAGCAAATTTTAACAATGTAGTGATGTAAAATTACACAAACAAGATGACAGTCCAGTATAAAGGAATCCCTAGTGGAGTTAGGGCAAACGGCCCGTGTTCAGCGAGCTATCATAAGAAGGGGCGAATAATTTCATTTGGATGGTTGTTTTGTTCGCTGCCATTTTGTCTCCCTACACATTGCTGCAAAAAAAAATAACCATTTGGACAATATTTCTTTAAATACCTTCGTGAATAATCTACAAACCATTGTCTAAATATAGAAAATACCACAAATGGCGCGGTAAACGCCATCTGTAGTACGATGCTACATTTTAGGATTAGGTACGTATGCTTCAACAATCTACTTGCTGAAACGAATCCCGGCGTAGCTAACCTCAACGTGATAGGCACGTTACCATAATCGAATAAAATAATTCGAATTATTTTAATCGATTATTCAGCAAGTAGATATCCACACAAGTGGACCTTGTTGGAGCATACGTAATCCTAAAATGTAGCATCGTACTACAGTTGGCGTTTACCGCGCCATTTGTGGTATTTTCTAAAACGCACTGTTAAGACAGCAGGTAAAAGTTGGTCTGTGTTCTGTCGGAGTTGTCTGCGACGTGCTGATGAGATCCAAAAAGATCGAAATCGCGATCCGCGTCTGGCAGTTTCGACAGAATACAGACCATTTCGAATTATTTTATTCGATTGTCTAAATATATTTTATTTTTTCCTAAATAGATACATTAGACATTACGGTTCCTTTGATGCTTTTTTAAAAGGAACTTTGATTCTACGAAAATATGTAATGGATTTCGAATTCGTTTTATTAAAACTGGACAAAAAACAGGGTGTTTAATCTATAAAACTAATTTTATTTCATTGAAATTTTAGATACTTAAGTTTTGGAAAATAAAGGAAAAACCAAGGTCGAATAAGTACTGGTTAGGCTCATTTTTATTATCCAAATTACCTCTACAAAAGTTAAAAATAATAACGTTACCTCTTGAGAATTTTAGATCACAGCATCTCTTAAAAAATATTTTTCTTTGCAAAATTCAGTAGTTACTTTCAACAAAATAGAAATCATTTAAATTCATACTTACGGCTTGTTTCTGCTCCCACGTTCTCATAGTTGATTTATATTTTTCAAATTCGTGGCACCAATCGGAGTAGACTTTCTGGTAGTCGCTGCTTTTTGACGGAGATGAACATCTGTGCGAGTCCACCGTGACGTTATACGAGCATAGTAGAGAAGCTCCCATCCAACAGTCATACCGGCCAGTATCTGCTTCTGTTAATGATAGTATGATCAAACCATGTTCCGACGTTTCTATGTATTTTTCAGGCCTACGACAAAGAATTCAGTTGTAGTATTCAAAACAAATCAATATGGTGTTATAAGATGTGTTCTAAATGTATACAATGTACTCAAAATAGTTTTAATTAAACGCCCTTTTTCTTAAATTACTCAATTTCTGCATTGTCTTATTAGATAAAACATTAAAACCGAAAATTCCACATAAAATAGTTTAAAACCTTTTATTGTATTTTATCTAAGGACATCTTAATCAGTGAAAGTTAAGCTGGAAAACAAACTTAAATACTCTACTCACTGAAAAGGGGAGAGGGGTTCACGAAATGACTTTCCTAAAATTACATTATTTTCATATATGAGTCATCAATCTACAACCAAAAGCACAGACAAATGACAGATGGGAAGAAGGACAAAACTCTCAACAGAAAAACACAAATACCTGTAGTTGATTTTGTATTGTCCCTTGTCTTTTGAGTAGTGGAACCATGTGATGGTTTGGGTTGAAAGTACAGCGGGCATCTTCAGAAAACAACCAAGGTGGAGACTTTGACCCCACGTTGCCACCATCTTCTTTTTTACGACGCTGCTGTCGCATATATCTAGTGTGTTGTTGGATACATCTTGGAGAAGTCTTTAAGATTCAAAGGGAGACTGTTAGATAAACATTTTTTGGGTTGTAATATTCTGGACTTACCCGGGAGCGTACGGTTTACAAATCAGCATGTCTTTATCCCACCCACAATATGGATCGTGTACACAACGTAAACAGTTATCATACCTCCTGTTGCACATGACTAGATCGATCTGTTTAACTCGGAAATCAGATGCTACAAATAAGGCTTTGTGTTTCCGTGACAGCGCCATTACTTGTATAGACTCCCCTGGAGTAACATCGAAAATATCTAAAAGTGTTGAACTGGTTTCTCCGTTATTGACGTTAGTCCATTGCACAATCTTATGAACTCGTCCATCATCTAAAAGGAAAAAAATACTTTGCTAAAAGAACCAATCAGAATAATTTTTAAAACTTACTGGTTCCAGCGTAGTAGACAGTATAGTCAATTACAGCTCCTCCTATGTCGACCCTTATCTTATCTACCACTAATTTTGTGAAGAAAATATCTCTTTTGAAGAAAACTGGTTTTTCATTTTCGTGCATTACAGCAGAATCCATTAGGGGATGGGATCGGATGAAGGTGAGAACTGAGTCAGGGAGTGTTTCTGTGTCGTTTACGCAAGTACCAGGACGCGGTTCTGGTACTCGATTGGATAACACTGGTAACCAGGCTGACGAAGAGGAAGCCTGCTCTTTGAATTTGCCATTAAAAGCCCGTTGGATGTCTGATAATGCGAAGGAACATATTGCTGAGCCCATCAATCCATTCGTGGAGGTAGTGAAGGTTCCATAAAATTTATTGTCGTCACCCGGTACTTTATAAATACTTTCTGTGAAGAAAACAAACATATAATAAAGATGACAAAAGGACGATTATTTGGTAGTGACTCTTACGTATTTCGTTGAAGTAAAACGGAAATTCTCCTGGAATTGAACAGTTCAACCTTGCTTTGAGGTATGTTGCCCAATTTTGGGAAAGGATATTTTTGCCGCCTATGTCCTTTTTGCAAACACGGGCTACCCTCGAATATACACTTTTACCACAATTTATGTACTCAACTGCCGTTTCACGGAAGAAGAAGAAGACGTACTCGCCAATATCAAACGATCCGACGAAATTTGGCTCTACAACAAATAATTCACTTTATTTTCAAAACATTTTGGTTTTGAAAATGCAAGAATATCAAGGAAACTAAGTACAAGTACTTTATAATGGGTTTTGACTGTTTTGTATATCGTTTCTTCGTTAAAAATGATGATAAAATTGCAGTTTAAAGTAACTTGGATTGGAATCTATGAGTTATATAAAAAAAAAACAATTTAATACATAATTTCATTCAAGAGTGGAATAGACGAATCCATTTAGTTATGAGGGTGATAACGGCTAATGAAAATTAAATTGTAATACAAATACAACGTAATGTTGTTCATCTGATTTTTTTAAACCAGCTGAGGGGCGTTTTTGTTTTGCTGAACGAGTTACAAAACGATTGACGCTTAGAAATTAGTTTCTATTACCAGAACTACCAACATTTTAAAATACTTTTATGAGCACAGATTTAAGAGAGTGTTTCTTTTACTCCTCTGTTCAAACTAACAAATAGTGTAGTGGTATTACGATTTTTTTTGTGGAGGGGGTAGACGATATATCGCGCGTTGAGAGGCGTCAGCGGCGGTAGGAGAGAAAGGCTGGCGGGGGCGGAGAGAGGGCAATGGCTGTATTAGATGAATATAATGCGCAGCCGCGTGGAGAGCGGGGAGTTTAGCGCTAGAGTTCCGGCGGCGTGTGCTGTGCTCAGCTGTTGTTTTCTTACCTCTGCTCTCCACGTGGTTGGGCATCATTGTCTCCATTTGCAGTTTGTGTAAAAACCAAATCATAAATTGCAGTAAACCTGTGAAGACGAAACCCTGAAAAAATGTGTGCTGGGACACATACTAGAAGTGAAACTTCAACGGACAGGTGGAAAAACGAATGGCAACAAAACTTTTACTTGAAGTTTTACTTTACTTTTTGGTCAGACTTCACAAACAAATTGCAAAATAATGAAGAAAAAGACGACAAAATGGAAAAACTGGGCTTTTAATTTAATTTTTTGATAGATATCAGCTTTAGATTTACTCTACAAGCAGCCATAGAATTGAAAATAAAATCATCTTGATGTTGTACTACAACTCGAAATGTTCAGTGATTTCATGTTATGTACATTCTCAGCGAGTGTTCCGTGTAAACTTAAGACGATTAATTTGATTTTGGACGAAGACATATCTAATCCCCGTGACACTTGGGGGCCAAGGAAATTGTCTTGGAGAGAGATATTTCTGCTTAAACGAGCTCGAGGAGCGTTAGTAGTGTTACGCATGCACGCATTTGGAGGTAATGCATTAATTTATTGCCGAGGATGAGGGGAAGATTAGGAGAAACAGTTTAGCGGTCTGAGACAAGCCGAGCGAGGGTAATAATAGAATTAGAATTAAGCACGATTTTGAGATTCTGCTCGCGTTTGGTTCCGTTTACTTTGCCTCTGCTACGAATCTTGGGGTTCAAAGTTTAAAGAAGAGGATTTTCATTAAACACACAATCATTAGCGATCAAGGAAAGACAAAAAAAAATAAAAAAAACGAGGACTCTAGACAACGAACGTCTTACTATTGTTTAAAAGCAGGGAAATAATCAGTTTCTAAAATTGCGTCAAACAATTAGGACAATTTAACTTTTCTGGTGATAAGAATTTAATTTTGTAGGATTACAGTTGTATATTTTTTATCATTCAAATTTAATATTGGCAATACTCGAGAGGAAATCTTTAATTTTTAAAGCAGAAAGACAAAGTGATTAAAATAATTTCGAAAATAATATCTTAACATCTGTTTAATTTTATTAAATAATACTTATATCCACCGAAAGCCTTATAAGAA